GAATCCGCTGAGGAACCTTCTACCAGTTTTTTTGTTATTTTTTGGGTGTGGTAATGTCAATCAGGAAGAGCAGAAGTAAAGAAGCAAATTATGACAAGCGGACACTACCTAAATTAAATGTTGAAACAACGTGTTGTTCTAGTGATCCTTTTGGCGGGCCATATTATTGAATGTTGCGGTTTTATCTCTGGGAATTGGGGCAGGGTAATTCTGCTTTTCCAGATCTGAGGTTCACGTTGTCTTGAGGAAATGTAACCATGCAAGTCGTTCTTTGACGTTATTCTGAGCCAGTATCGTAATTTGACATTAGGTCGCCATTGTTGGTGATCAAGCTGTACAAATGTTTGATATAGGACCCGTTTGGAATAACTTATAAATAGCTTTCTAATTATGATTTACGGAATACGAGATAAAGATGTGACGGGTTTTGTTTTGGTTTATATCAAATATATTTTTAAGTTCTTATATTGATACCAAACAGACTAGGACCATTAAACAGAGCCGTGATAATGGAATTCAACAATTACAGCGTGAAGAATAAAACCAAATTTGTTGTCGTTTTTATCCTTCCATATGGCCTCATTCAAGAGGCCAAATATCTATTTTTCAAATTCGTACGCCACAAGTTCACCACTTATTCCGTACTCCTTTTCTTTTCTTTTCTTTTTTTTTTATCCTTTTTAAAATAAGTTTTCTTCACATTGCTCCTGTGAATAAAAATGGTTTCTGGAAAGATCAAATATGCCTTCCTTTAACGTATCAAAAGCCAAGCATCCATTAAACTATATATGAAGTAATACCTTTTTTTAAATGTAAATTGTGTCCTACAACTATATATGATACCTTGCTTCAGTGTTCTAAAAGTAAAGCCTCCGTGAAGATTAAATCATTTTGTCCCTCCAGTCCTTATCACTCGCATCTAAATACCTCTTCAAAACTGAGGAGAGGAGGCTAACTCTTTAACTTTGCCTCGAAGTGAAAGATTTTTTTCAACTTTATTTTTATTTAAGAGCATGGGGAATCACTTTGCTAGTTAGTAAAAGGTACTATAATTATGGGAAAGCAAAGCTAAATGCATCAAATTATTTCTCAACAAATTTAGTAAAATGTTGTCTTAGAAGATAATACCTTCAAAGTTTCAAAAAATGAAGCATCCATTAAACCATCTATGAAGTAATATCTTAAAGAATAATACCTTACTTGAATGTTTCAAAAGTCAAGCCTCTAATCCATAAACCAAGTTATCAGATTCCATTATTCATTATTCCTCCGGTATATAATATAAAAAGTTAGCTTCTCTCACATGCCAAAAAATAAAAGTTCAATCATTAAATGTGTTCTAAAAAGATAAAGTTTTACTATTTTACCCCTAAAAATGACAAAATGGCCTTTAATATTACACTTTTATTACCTCTCATCTCTCTCCTCTTTCTCTCTTATATTTAACGGGGTGAAAGTGAAAAAATCACATTAACTATTTTGACAACATCTTATATTTTAGATCACAATTTTCTTCTAACCAACAGCTTATATTATTGACCCGTGGGGGTATAAAAATATACATTCTAAAGTTGCAAGAGTTCTACTTCACAATTTGAAGTTCAGGGTTTGTCAATCCTCACATTCAATCGTTGCAATTTCTTTGCCAATTCTCACGTTCAATCATTACAGCTTCTGCTTCTGCAAATCGGTTTCCACACTCCATTTGCATCCTTCTTTTTGATTATTCAGTCCATTAAAGGTTCTTCTTCTTCTCCTTCTATATTTTTCCAAAAACAGAAAAAAAAAAGCCTTCTTCTTTTGCAACACTGATTTCCTTGCAGTTGATTTCTTCATTTATTCTCATCTCTGTCATTGCTCTATAGCTGTTCTTCACCTCATTCAAAAAAAAAAAAAAAAAAGCCTTCTGTTATCAAAAATTCTGCACAAATATTTCAATTTCTGCTTGTATTTAATACTTTTCGTGCCCCTTTTTCTTTGTCTTTAAAATCTTCCATTGATTCTTCTCTCCATTATTCATTGTTGGTTTCGTTATTCTTAAATTAAAAAAAAACTCCAAAAAATAAGAAAAACAAGGGTGAAAAAAAGGAGGCTTTCATATCCCAGGCATTGTTACAGAAAGGCATAGAAGTCTCTGGAGGAGAGGTAATTTTTGTATTCCACGATACTTTTGAAATTTTGATAGTGTGTGTATTTGCATTTGGCCTTTTTGTTGTATATTTTAGTCCATTAAAGTATTTAAATTAATAACAATGTCTTTTCAGCTTATGGAAGATAAGTAGCCTTTAAATTTAAGAGAGCATCAAAATTTGGGTGAATATATATATATATAGTTTTTATCTTATTTGTACTTTGATGTTTTACACGATTATATTGTTGATCTCTTAAACTTTCTCATTTTTATTGATCAGATTTTGGCTGGTAATCTCAAGTCTGAAAATTGAAGATTCTCACTGCCTTAGTGCGTTTGACTGCATCCAAGTTAGTAATAGTATGACAGATTTTCATAGCCTATTCTGTAAATTAAAAAATGACCCTAATTGTCGATCAATTATTAATATAATGCATCGTATATTGCCATTGACATGGCTTGGGATCCTACAGAAAAAAATTCCCAATTTATGTCGTTTTGAATTTTAATTGCCTAAGATAAAAATTTGTGGAAATGTAAAGAGAAAAGGGGGAAAATAAAAAGTAAAATAAAATAATTAAAAAAGGAGAAAACAACGTGCGTAGGTTTATTGAATTTTTTTTAAAAGGTAAATAATAAAAAAACAAATTTCTCGCATGAGTTTAATGTTAGATTTTTTAATTATGATTTTTACTAAACATTATTAGACCATTGATAAAAACTAAAGTCATATTTTATATAATGTTGCCTGTAACACATATTTGAAATAATGTTCTTTGTTCTTTTCTCTTTTCTTCCCTTTTCTTTTTCATCTTGTGTTCTTGGCATCGCTTTATCCCTTCATGTCTGAGTTGTGCCCTCTCTGAACATAGTTTTTTTTTTTTTTCAAATGCAAGAAAAATTTATATGCCTGAGTGTATATGTTGTTAGATAAAATTGTGTATAACTCTCCATGGGTAACTTTTTAATTAACAGTCATAAATTTTTATTTTTCATCAAACAATACATTTTCCATTTAAAATATTTTGGGTTATTCTTAATTAAATGATCATGAATATACAGAAGGGTGTATTTTTTAGTGTACCATTATTATGCATTATGCACGATTATTTAACACTTAAAGAATTATGTCTTGAATGGTGTTTAGTAAGTGTGGTTGTTAATACTTTGTATTTAACAATATAATTTTCAGTGCATCAATCATTTATTAAGTTTTAACTGTCTTAACTCTTTCTTGAGGGGTTTGGAAGGAAACAAGACTTTTTAGTTCATTATAACTCTACTCTATTAAATAAATAGATAAATGAGCTTTTTACTTTTGGGTTAAGCTGCATTTAGCACCTTGCAATATTTTTTAAGTGCGTCCAGCATATAAAAGTTTTTTTTTTTGCATCTAACACACTAAAATATTAAGGCAAAATAAAAATTCAGCGTGTCGGATGCCCTTAAAAAATACGTAAGAGTATTAGATGCATTACAAAAATGCTTTAAAGTACTGAATACACCTGAGAAAATACTTCGGGATTTTGGATACACATTAACCCTTTTACTTTTTAATATAGTGACTTTTTTTTTTAAAAAAAAAAGTTTCATTTGCTTTTTAACTTCCTTCCCTTTTGAGCCTCTTGCAGCGCAACAGCCAATTCTGTTGCTAATTAGATAAAACATGATTCACATATCTAATTTTGTTTTTAATTTATTCATCCTATTCTTATTTTTAGATAAATTTAATATATTTGAACATATAACAAACTCAAATTTTGAATTTCTCATTATAACAGGTGAATACCAAAAATAATATTTAATTTTAATGTGTTCCCACAATCTAAAATTTATGGGTTCCTTGCTGCCACATGTAATCATAGTCTCATACCTTCTGTTGCATCTTTGTGCAGGAGAGAGAATAGCTTCTTATCTTATTTGCGCTTCCATCTCTTATATATTCATATAGCTAATATCTTAAACTTTCTAATTTTATTTCGCAGATCTTGGCTCGTTAAATTAAGTTGCTGATATTGGCATACTTCCTTTGCTTGCATCCAAGTTAGTATGTATATTCATAATTTTAATTTATCGATCCATAGATAATTTCGTAGCTTACTTTATCTAAAAATTGGAGTGAACCTTTTTTGTTTGATTTTGCTCATGATCATTGTTATTGCTCATGATCTTGACCTGTGAAGAACTCCAATAATTAGTTACTCATGAAATTTTAATATAACTAAATCATGCTTCATAGATTTAAATCGTGGTAGTTGCCGTGGTTCTTATACATAAATTGCTATTTGATATGTTTCGGGTCATCATGATCATTAATTGCTATACATTTGAGGATGAATATGCATCCTTTCTTAAGATATTATATAGATAGATGCACACTTATTTGGGTGAAGAAGAGAAAGATGTCATTCTTTCTATGATCTCACCCTCCTATTGAATAATATGGTTTTGATTAGTATATTATGATCTTAGATCATAGGATCTAGTTGATTTTGTAACTATAATCCCATATGCATGTTAGATGGATATCTGTACCGGTGTTGCAACAACAATCATCCCAGACTTGCTACGTAAAGCATGGGAGGAACTTCAGTATCAGCGTAAACACAAGAGTTATGTTCAAGACTTCAAAAGGGAGCAAGAAGAGTTGTTAGCTACAGTGAAAAGTGTAGAGCTAAGGATAGACGAAGCGAAGAAAAAAAATAACACTCGGGTTGACCCTATAGTTGAACACTGGCTTAAAAGTGCCAATGAACTTTTACAACAAGACACTAAATCAGCCAAATGCTTTGGCTTGTGTACAAATTGCTGCTTGCAAATTGCACAAGCCAAGGAGTTGGAAAAACTGACAAAAGAGCGGATCCCAAAAATGATCGCTGAATTTAAAGAATTTCCTAAAGAAGTAGCACGTGCTGCTGGAGTGCCAGGCATGGAATTCCATTCACAAGAGTTCATGCCCTTTAAGAGTAGAAAGGAAAAGTTTGAGGAACTCAAGAAGGAATTAGAAGATGAGAATAACTGCATGATAGGATTGCAAGGACTAGGAGGAACAGGGAAGTCCACAATGGCAATCGAAGTTGGGAAACAAGTCGAAAAATCAAAACTCTTTGATAAAGTCATCTTCACTAATGTGTCTACCCCTATGGATGAAAAAAGGATTCAAGATGATATTGCAAAGAAATTAGAATTGCAATTAGAGGAAGAGATGCCAATGAGTCCTGCACAACAAATATGGACCAGGATTGCTCATGTTGGAAAGGTGCTCATAATACTTGATGACGTATGGGAAGAACTCGATCTTAAGAACATGGGGATTCAACCTGGCTTTCATATCAAGGGTTATTGCTGTGTTTTGCTAACTACACGTTCTATGACTATTTGCAACAAAATGGGATGCCAAAAGACAATTCAATTAGATGTCTTGCCTATGGATGATGCATTGAAACTTTTCTTATCTCATACTATTGCAAGTGGAAATGATTGTCCTAGCGATTTGAAAAAGTTGGCACAAGATATTGTGAATGAGTGTGGAGGATTGCCAATTGTGATTGTAGCAGTGGCAAAGGCCTTAAAAAGCCCGTCTCTACAACAATGGAAGGCAGCTTTGATTGCATTGAAAAACCCCATGCCTTCAAGGCATGGTATTGTTGATGAGGATAAAAGAAAGATTTATAATTCTTTGAGACTTAGCTATGATCATCTAAAAGGTGAAGAAGCCAAAATTCTCTTCCTGTTGTGTTCTATCTTCCCAAAAGCTTATGAAATACCCTTAGAGCTTTTAAGCAGAATTGCTATAGGTTTAGGGCTTTTTAAAGAAGAAGACCCATACTATGTAGCAAGAAGTCATGCTAATGATATCGAAAATGCACTCATAAATTCTTCTTTATTGTTAAAGACTGGTGAAGTATATGTAAGGATGCATGATGTCATCCGCGACATGGCCTTGGAAAAGATAGACAATGAAAAAATTCAAGTGATCATGGATTCTAAGACAAAATTGAAGGAGATGTGATGTACTCATCTTGGATCATAAGTGGCTTTCCCAATTGTTCTGATGATAGCAAAGTCGAGGTTCTCTTTATATGGATAAATACAAATGATTCTTTGAAAGTTCCTAATACAATCTTTGGAGCAATGAAGAGCCTTAGAGTTCTGCTTTTGAATTCAAAAACTAAGTTTGGTAGAACTCCTGCTCAATCGCTACCAAAATCAATTCAATCACTAAATCATATCCGAACACTATCTCTCACAAATTTGGAGTTGGATGACATATCAGTGTTGATGAGCAACTTAGAAAAGCTTGAGTCTCTAGAATTGACTAATTGTTCAATTGCAGAATTGCCAAATGGAATTAGTGAGCTAGATAAGTTGAGATTTCTAAGCTTGATACGTTGTTCACTTCAAAAGAACAATCCATTTGAAGTGATTGCAAGATGCTCGCAATTGGAGGAATTGTATTATGTTTCAAATGCTGATCATACGCCAATTCGCGCAAAGGTTCCTCAAATTACAAACCCTCCTAATTATCAAACATTCCATATAGATGGCAGTGATTTCTCTGAGTTTGATTCTTCTCAGCTGGATGCTTCAATAAAAAAATGTTTCAAGCCAGCCACGTTGCAAACAATCTTCTCCGATGAAGTTATTAAATCTTTGGCGGCAAGAGCAGAGATTCTAGATCTAAGAGGAGATGATAAAACCAGCTGGAGCAATCTCATTCCTGACATTGTTTCAATTGAAGATTATGGAGCCATGAAAGACTTAATCAAGCTTTCTTTGAAGGAATGGTCTCAGATGAAGTGTTTGATCTATACAGAGAATCTTCAACTTAAAACTGGAGTGACTATCTTCTCCAAGTTAATTGAACTGCAACTTGATGGAGTGGATGTGACAGAAATATGTTGTGGTCAGTATCCTCACAGTTTTCTCAAGCAGCTAGAGAAGCTGGAGTTAATTAGATGTCAAAAGTTGGAAAGCACATTATTTAAAGGGAAGCTAGCGCTGGGTAACCTTAAGTTCATAGAAATAAAGCATTGTTCAATGACTTGTCTTTTTCATCTGTCCACTGGTCAAAGTCTAGAGAACCTAGAGACGTTGAAGATAGCTGAATGTTCTAAGCTGAAATACATAATAAGTGATGAGGGATTGTCAACAGCAAAAGAAGTGGATGATAAGGATCCTAATCCAATAAGAAGTCAAGACTCAATGTTCCCAAAATTGAAACTACTCAATGTTGATAGTTGTGACGAATTGGAATTCATTTTGCCAACTTGTTTTTGCGAAGACCTCCCTCTATTGGAAGGTGTGGAGATTTCCTTGTGTAAGAAGCTAAAATACATGTTTGGGCAATATTCAAAAGAGGGAGGGTTGCATCAAATGCAAAAAGAAAACGCGCTCCCTAGTTTGAAAGTAATGTCTATTGAAGAAGTTCCATCATTTGTCAACATATATCAAGAATGTTATCTCCCAGAAAAATCCGTAGCAAATACAAGTCAGGGGTCAAAGGACTGCAAAGACAAGAGTCCAAGTAGCAATGTTTCTTGGGGTCCTTTATGTTGTTTTCTGCCAAAATCAGAAACTGCAAATACAGATGAGTCATGTACTTCCAAGACAACTCAGCTGAACCATACTACTTCACAGGTACATATATATGTTCCTCCCTCACAGTTTTTATTGATGCTACATATGTTTCTTTTCATTGAGAATTAATTGAGTAGTGTTCATTTGAGAAAAAGAATTATTAGAATTCACCCATTATAATGTTTAGCCTAAGATATTTTAAAAAAGGCCTAACATTTGAGTCATTTACAGATAGCCTCTATATAGCATTTTCGATATTTTAAATTAACCTCCCTAAATTCTTATCTTTTCACATGATCTAAAAGAAAAATTAGGAGAATTCATCCATTGAAAATTTTATTGGTACTTTGTACGTACAAATTTTACAGAGTACTAGTACTTTTATATATATAAATTTATCAAATGCTTCCCACTGATGAAATGAGGGGTCATTGCCTTCTTTCAAGAAATGTCACTTTATACTTTAGACTAAATATATAGAGTTCCCTTTCAAAAAAATCCTGGTCAACAATATCAATAAAATTTCTAGGTGTTGCAAAAGAGCCACTTTCGACGCACCACCAGCCAAACCCACTTAAATTTATTTCTATATGTTCATACAATTTTATATGAAAATATAGAAAAAAAATTTAAACTATTAAAATTTGATTTGAACATACTGTCAAAATTTGATATGAAAAGTTAACGACTTAAGTGAAAAAATAAAATATTTTAATAACAGTTTACAATTATGAACTACATATTTTCATATACAATTATAATAATAATTTTATAAAACATTAAATCTAAATGGTTAAAATCATAATCAACGGCGATGAGAATGGAAAAAGAGGAAAAATGGAGTACGGGTAAAGGAGAGATGCCAATTTCGTGATTTTTGAGCCACAAGTTTTGGTTTTGTCAACAAATAGACCTATAATATAAAGAGGGTTTTCTTGATTTTTTTTTCATGAGGAAAGAATATTTTTGCAGGTTTAATTCCATTTGTTGTGGGTATTACGTCCCTTTTTTTCTTTTTACTGTTGAAACTTGGGCCACTAAGAGATAAGGTAATTAAGATTTTTTTTTTATTGGGATCAACTGAAGATGAAGAAGGATGGTGTTTGTGTGAAAATGGCATGAACCAGCATCACAAAAAACTTGTGTCTTCCAAATATGTTTTGTAGAATAATTTATATGAAATATATATTGCTGTGGCATTTGTCTGTTTTTTAATCACACTTCAATTTATACAACACTATTCTATAACCTCATGGTTCATATCTATTAAATGGATAATTTATTTTGTTTGCGAAGAAAACTTCTCCACCTATGTGCTACAGGGTACAGGGCATCCATAAATTTTTTTTTTTCACATTACATTAAAACTGAAATTTTTAACAATTAACCATTTTTAAATCTTGCTTCATTGTTTATTAATTAATTGATTGAGAAGAATTTAGAAGGTTGGAAATTGTTGGCAAGAAAGAAAAAGGAGGTTGGAAATTTAAATTCGTAATAATTTTCTAATATAGTGGCTGAGACGTGGTAAAGATTAAGTTAGATCAGATGTGGGAAAAAAAAAATCTTTGATTATACTTATTTATTTTGAAAAACTGAAATAAAATGTCCATCCGCTCCCGCTTTCACGTCCGTTCTCTTATGGTGCTACGGTTCCAAGGAGACAAACAAAAAGGCTACAATTTAATATACACACTTGTAATTTGTTAAAGATGAATTGATATATTTGTTTGGAATGCAGGATAAATATGTTGGCAATAGAGCTCATGGAATTTTTACACCACCATTATACCCATGCAATTTGAGAGAGATGAAAATCAGAAGTATTTCAAACTTAAGGTCACTATTTTCTATCTCCGTTGCCTCATCAATGTCACTGCTAGAAAAATTGACAGTCCGGAGCTGTGATGAATTGGAGCATATAGTAATGGAGGAGGTAGATGGTCATGATCATATGAATGGCCGCTTTTTCTTTCCCAACTTACGCACCATTGAAATAAATTCATGTGGCAAGTTGGAATCTCTATTTCCAGCTTCATGTTGTAAAAAGCTTGTGCACTTGGAATCTGTGGATGTCTGGGGAGCTAGAGAGTTGGAATATGTGTTTGGAAAATCTTGCGGTGATGATAAGTCACGTCAACAGAATCAGAATTGTGAGATTCATCTCCCAGCTCTCAACAGAGTAATCCTTACCGAAGTACCAAATATGGTGAGTATGTGCCCTGAAAACTATTATATGAAAGCATCATCTCTAGAAGATGTCATTTTGGGTAAATGTCCGCAACTTCCTATAAACTCTTTTATAGATGTATCAGTGGAGGGACATGAAGGACAAGAACAAGTCTCGAGGAAAAAGGTAATTAATTATTTTTCAATAGTCAGTTTATGATTGCTGATGTATTGCTTTGTTCTTTGATAATAATGTGTGTTATGACATTATACAGGTAATTGGGATGCGCTTTTGCAATTTGAGACATCTTGCTTTAGTATATTTGGACTTGGAAACAATTTATGATTTGGAAAGACTTCAAATTGCATGTCCTATGAATTCAAGCTTGAAAACCCTGATTTTGGGAAGATTGAACAAGTTAAGAAACATATGTGTGGGACCAAAAAATCTTCAACTGAGCTTTCAAAATCTTTTCAAGCTAACAATAGATGGATGCGATCAGTTGAAATTTGTCTTGTCTGTGTCTATCTCGAGAAGCCTGCCACGTTTGAGACACCTACAGGTATCAGAGTGTGGAGAGCTAGAGCGCATCATTGAGGATGATGATGATGAAGAATGTTGTTTCCCAAATCTCCATAGGATTTTTGTGAATAACTGCAAGAGGTTGAAATGCCTATTCTCTATCTCCACACGTGGCAGCTTTCCACAGCTCTCGTGGTTGTCTATATCACATGCCCCAGTGCTAGAACAAGTATTTGGAGGGAAGCAGGGCGCAACAAGAGAGTTGCACATCAATGCTGTGTTCCCAAAGCTATTTGTGATATACCTTGAAGATCTACCAAAACTTCATACCATCTGCCTTGCAATTGATTTCCAGACCGTGATATGCCGTCTAGTCGAGGGTTGTCCCAAGCTCTCTTTAACTTCAACTGATAATGTTGACTTCATTAATAGTAAGTATCCAAAAGATTATTTATAAATATATATTTACAGTTGCTATATAATTGCTATGACTTTTCTCATTATAATATATATTTGGAATTGCTTTGTTTGGTTAGGTTATCTGCAATGGTTCCAAGAATCTGAGAGTAAGAAGAGCAACATGGATGACGATGATCTTCTTGAACAGTATCTTAATGTAAGTACTAAAATAAAATGGGTCAAGCTAAGAAAGAGAAAGCAAGAGGAGACAGGACAATGAACGATGCATATACCAAACTTAAATAAACTTAATAGGCCTCTTCATTTGAACCAATGGCCTATCATTACACCATTTTTATTTTTAGTTTCAATGTTTTATTATCTTTTCAAATTCACCGTGCGTTGTCTGGGACAAATTGTTTTTATATTTTCTAATCAGTTCTATAAAAAAAGAAAATTGAATAAACAACTTGTCATTTCATTCAACCCATGGAATGGTGATCGAAATAAACCATATTTTAGCTTGGAAAAAAATTGCTTATAAGTCTCATCAAGAAAATTAAATATACAAATGTCTCCAAAAATGTATATTTTACAGATCAAACTTGTATATTCACAAATTAAATTTAATCATTTATGTTTATAGATCAAACTTTTATTTTTACAAGTTGAATTGCATCATTTTGAAGTCAAATTAGGAAAAAAATTTCTAGCACCTATATCTCTGTGATTAATTAATTAATTAATTGAAAGCCTAAGGTTATTTTGTTAATAGAAATATTTAAAAAAAGAGTAAAGATGCAATTTTGCCCTTAAATTTATTTCTTAAGTACACCAAGCACTCTGTTTTTTTTTTTTTAAGTGCTAAACAATCTTTTTACCCTTTTAAAAAATGCTTCATCTCAATACCATCTAACCATATTCACGGATATGTTCCAGAGGGCAAGAAAAGTAGCAGAGAAGCTTATAAAGAGAGATCGACCAGCAGCACAACAAAACAATGCTTCATCAAATGTATGTATACTATAGCTTCCTATAATCTACCACACCTAAGAAGCCAGCAGATATATTTCTCTCTTACTTATTGCCTTTCTTATTGCTTATAAATTTTTTGGTGCAGTATTAATTGATAACTTTTTAATTCCTTTGCGCTCTCCTATATGTTGCAGATCAAGGAAATAACAGAGGCAAGTGTTGAAGACGGTCCAAAAGCAGAGGAGGCTGCAGAAGCTGATGAAGGGAAGGATTCAGAACAAACTAGCAACAACCCTGCTCCTTCACAAGTAACATTATCATATTTTTAAAATACGATACCATTTGATTTTTCCTCCGACACAGCATCTTCTCAACTAAGTTTATACTTTATTATATTACCTTATTTTCAGTGACTAATGTTAGAAAACACACACATTATAAATTCATCATACTTCGCACTTTTCTAAAATAAAATAGTTTTACATAAACATCAAACAGTTCCACATTTTATTAACATATTGTAAGTTCAGATAAACCAAAGCAGTGAAAAATGAAATTGTTAAACAAGCTCTTCTTTCTGATGTACCAGCAAAAACAACACCATCCTCTAATTCAGATATTTTAAGAGAAAATGCCCACAAACACCTTCGCTTGTTTTTATATATTGTAAAATTTAATTAGCTAGTAAAGAATGTTGTTGATGAAGAGATGGCCAACATGTTTATAAGTTGAATTGCATCATTTTAAAGTGAAATTGGTAAAACTTTTGCAGCACCTAGCTCTGTGATTAATTTTATTAATTGAAGCCTAAGGCTGATTTTTTTTTTAAAAGGAAATATTTAAAAATATCTCATCTAATATAGAGTAGCATCTAACCCATGTTCACGGATATATTCAATTATTGTACAGAGGTTAAAAGAAGTAGCAGAGAAGCTTATAAAGAGAGACCGACCAGCAGCAGAACAAAACAATGGTTCATCGAATGTGGTGCAATTTTACCTTTCTTATTGCTTATAATTTTTTGGTGCAATTTTAACAAATTAAATCCAGAAGTTTTTAATTTCTATGTGGTCTCCTATGTGACAGATTAAGGAAATGACAGAGGCAAGTGTTGAGGACAGTCTAAAACCAGAGGAGGCTGCACCGTTTGCTGCCCCTTCACAAATTGAATCTCCACGAGTAAGATTATCACAGTTTTAAAATATAAAACCATTTGATTTTTCCTCCAAAACAGCATCTTTTCAATGAAGTTTATACTTTATTGCCTTATTTTGAGTGACTAATGTTAGACTTTAAAACTAATTGAAAACACATTATAAATTCATCATACTTCACACTTCCCTAAAATAACATAGTCTTACATAAACACCAAATTGTTCCTCTCTTTAGTAACATATTGTAAGTTCATGGAGTACCAAAGCAAGAATAAATGAAATTGTTCAACAAGTTCTTATTTCTGATATACCAGCGAGAACAACATCATCCTCTAATTAAACACCTTCACTTGGTTATGTATTGTAAAATTTAGTTAGCTAGACAAGAATATTACTGCTGAAGATATGGCATCAGAACCCACTGCAAGCTAAATTACTTCTTTGTGCTATGAAACAAATTATAAAGGAAACATTGAAGTCAACTTCTCAAGAAGGTTTTAAATTAGATGAAGCTCTAAAAATAAATCAAATCATGAGTCCAGAATCAAACATGCCATCACCAGCAACATTTGTTGTTCCTTCAGAAAATGAGCATCCACAGGTAAGAATATAGACCTTCTTGATATTGGATGAGTTTATGGTAAACGATAGAATTTTATGGCCCTTTTTTCATATTTATATTCATTTAGGACAATATGGATCGTATTGAGGGCAAGGGCAAGAGGAACACAGCGGATCAACAAGCACTAACAAAAACAGAACCTGATATGCATCATTGTCACAAAAACAAGAAACTGATGCTATTCGATATTATACTGTGCAGAATATTGAAGCAAGTATTATTGGAGAAACATCAAATAAAGTTGCAATGGCAATTCCATCAAAGACAACTGAAACAAGCTCTCCGTTGGTAAATAATTACTCTTCTCATTTACCCTTATTTAATTTTTTTCACTATCGGTGCTTTACTAACTTGCGTTGATATTAATTTTTCTATTTTTCTCGTTTTAGATCCCTTCAATCTCTACTCCCAAGAAGCCTCAAATAGCAACTTCAAGTACTGAATCAAAAGCAGAGAGCTCGCAATCAGACCATTTAGATATTTACATTACTGAGTCTGCACAAGTATGTTTATAGTTTACCGCACTGTTTTTTGGATATAACTTTTTTTTTAAACAATTAATAATAAATTTTGTGTTGATTACCATTTATAACTCGACTTTTATTATTAGAGTCCTATATGTTTCAGGGAATAAATATTTTTTTATTGAATTCTATTAGTAAGAATAATATATGTTCACTCTTATCCATTTCAGGATGAAATTAAGGTCACTCAAGCAGAGACTTGCATGCCTAAACAACTTGAGGATGATGATCTAATGAGATTATTCCAAACAATGGAGGAAGGTGCTGCTCATAAAGATGATAATGAGGTGACTAAGGCTCTTGCTGATTTGGAAGCCTCATTGAAGATGGATCTAAATGAAATAGCTAGCTCTGAAGAAAGTAGACTTTGTCTTCAAAATGCTCTCCACACCTTGTCCTCTCACTGTTCTGATGATAATCTCAAAGCTACAGTACACTCTTTACAACAAGAAATCCAAACTATTCTATCTTCTTTCAAGCAAGCCTATGCTACCATTGAGACAGCGACCAACCTTGAACAAAAAGAGAAGGTAATGATTGAACAACGTTCACATCGAAAAGAAGCAGCCATGACTCTTCTATCTGAAATTCACAAGACTCAAAATTCGATGGTTGAGACTCAAACAAGGGAAGCAGAGTTGAAGGAGCAAATCTCTAAGTTGCAGGATGAATTGTATTACAAAGAAAAAGAAATTAAAGAGTGTGAGATCAAATTGTCGTCTCTTCAAGAGCAAAAGAAGAAGTGTGTTTCAGACACCATTGAATTCAAAAAGGAGTTGGAAGCAGTGAAGAAAGACAGGTCTTGCATGGTGGAAGACCGAATAAAAGCAAAGCACCAACTAGAGAATGTGCATTCTAGGTGGTCTTCTTGTCAAGCCAATTTGAAGAAAACCTCATCACAGTTGGGAATTCATCTTAAGCAGAAGCTTTGACTGTTGAAGACGTTCATTTAAATTTCGTAAAAAATATAAATAAAGGTTCTAGCCGGTCGGGTTGTTATCTATGTACTTTATGTTTTTTGTGTTATCATTGTGGTGATTTTCACTATGCTGATATGGATAAGCGGTTGAGTTGTTATTCAAAGAAAAAAAAACCAAATAAATAAATAAAGAGCAGGGCTAGCTTGGGTTTAGAGTTGTGGGAGACTTATTGTTGTAAATATTAATTATAGTAAAAATTTTCTGAACTAAGTACCGTGGTTTTTATCTCTAACATTGAAGGGGTTTTGGACGTTAAAAAATGGTGTTCTTCTATTTATTTAATTGGTGCAATTTTTTTAATATCTTTAATACATGATCTCACTTCATTTTATAATATAAAAAATGTGACTACCATGTTTCATCTTTGCAAATCCTTTTTTGTTTATAAAGTAATTTTTCACTCGTCAATTTCGGATAAGTTACGTTGTTAGAGCGGTACGGTTTCTTATGTTGACCCTCACAATTACATCATTTATTAAGCACATGGTTTGTGAGGTAACAAAGAAATACATGTGACAAAGAGAAATACTACCTTCGCTCCTTAATATAAGATCTTGTTTGACTTTTATTTTGATTCTAAATATAAGACCCCAATCTATTTTGTCTGTCATATTTATACATTTCTTTTCAAGGTAGTCCTTTTAACAATGGTAGTTCTAGCCAATACATTTGATTAGCAAGGATATTTTAGGAAAGACAACATATATTTATTACAAATAGCTAATTTAATTTCTTTCCTTAATTTCCTCAAATTAGTCAACTAGTTCTTATAATTAGGACTGGAGGTAGTATGATATATATGTGTGTAGAACATAATATGGGAATTGCACGGTATTTACTAAAATTTGTTGCATATTTACACGAACTGTATCCTAATTAAATCGCAAATATATATATAGATATAAACTATGGTGTTCAGCTTTATATGTTGGTTACCATAAGGATCATGTTCGGTTAGACATGTAATAAGATACTCCTTTGGTCTTGAATACAGAACTTAATTATTGAGCTAATTTTGATATTAAATATAATACATATTTATCATATTTATCAATTTTTTTCTAAATTATTCCTACTGATATTCTATCGACCATAATCAAATAAGAGAGTGAGAGAAGATATCGAGAAATATGATTATCATGTTTATTATAATTAACTAACTTACCTAACTTTTTTAATCTAATCAAATTAATTAACTTGGTCTTATTTTGATCCTTCTATACGGCGTCTCATTAAATATCCTGAATACCTAATTTTGAAATTTGTACACCACAAGTTCACAAATTATATTTCGTACTCCCTCTGATATATATATTTTTTAAAAATTCGTTACGTTTTGCTTTCTAAATAAAAATGGTTTATTGAAGGATAAGATATGCCTTCCTTTAATATATCAAAAGCCAAGGATCCCTTAAACCATATACGAAGTAATACTTTCTAACAAGTGTAAATTGGTGTCCTGGAACTATAAACCACATATCAAGTCATCAACAGATTCCATTGGACACAAAATATATATATATATATATATATATATATAAAGTTAAAGAGTTCTATACATCACAATTCAAAATTTAGTTGCCAACTCTCACATTCGATCCTTACACTTTCTGCTTCTTCAAATCAGTTTGCGCCCTCCATTTGGATCCTTCCTTTGAAGGAAACTCTTTTGCAAGACTATTTTTCTTGTATTTCATTTCTTTGTTTATTCTCATCTCTGTTATTAGTCATTGTTCTGCAGCCTTTCTTCTGTTTTCAAATACTCTATCCACAAACACTGCAAAATATTTTTCTAGCTCTTTTTCTTTCTTTGTAAATCTTCCTTTAATTTTAGTTTCGTTTTTCTGAGATAAAAAACCATCAAATTAAATAACAAAAGAGAAAAAAAAAGTCAATTAAAAGGAAAAGGACAAAAGGAGCCTCTCATCGATGGCATTGCTGCAGAAAGACATAGAAATCTCTGGACGAGAGGTAATTTTATTCCATGATACTTCTTCAATTAATGTGTGCACGCGCGCGTTTGGACTTGATCTTCTTGTTATTTATTTGAGTTCGTTAAAGCATTTACATTAATGGCAATGTCTTTTCAGCTTATAATATACTTCTCCAGTCCTAAATATAAGATCTCTAAATATATATATAGAGGATCGGAGGAGTAAATAATTTTTCTTTTTTTTTTTTAATAATTATTTTGCAAAGATTGTGATTTTTTTTGTATAAAAATATATATATAATAGGGGTAAAATTAAAAAGTTATTATTAAATTTTAAGATAAAGTTAAGGGAAAATCGCAAAAAACAACAGCTGAAATAGAAAAATTACAAATAGCGACCCGTTACCACATTATTATGGGTTTTGACAATAACAGTATAGGTTTTGACAACAATTTTTGTGAACAGGTCTTTGTTTGCAATTTTTCAAATTTGAGGGTCTTTTTTTGCCATTTTTTCTAAAGTTAATGGCTTATAAATATAATTAGAAGAGTATTTAAATTTACAGGTGATTCACTGATTCTAACACTTTATAATTATTATTATTTTGTTAGCAACGGTCATAAATTTGTATACGTGATCAATAAATATTTTCCAATTGACATACTTTGGATTATTCCATATTAGATTATCATGGATATATAGAAGAGTGTATTTTTGTGCGTACAATTATGTTAATAAAACAAAGTTAGGATGATGCAAACCATCTCAGTTATGAATAAATTTGTTGGCCCAATTATTTTTTTTCCTCTCCCATTGTGTGTTGTATATCCCTTCATATTCTATCCTTCAATCAGTGTGTGTGGACTTGATCTTCTTGTTATTTATTTTAGTTCATTAAAGTATTTTATATTAATAGCAACGGAAAATGAATAATACTCCTATTGTTTTATTTGTAAGTTACTGAGAAAATATTTTTGCGCTACTTATAAGTTACATTGTTAAATTTTTATATAAATATATAATTTTTTTATTGCTATGCTGAGATTGTATTCTTTTTAAAAGTATATATATTAAATATGGATAAAATTAAAAAGTTATTAAATTTTAAGATAGAACTAATGATATTTTAAGTTTTTCTTGATTCCAACAAAATATGTTAAAATTGACTAACAAATAGAATTAGAAGAATATTTAAATTTTCCAGTGGTTCACTAATTCTAGCACTTTTATAAGTTTTTTTAGTTAGCAAGGGTCACGAATTTGAATACCCCATCAATAAATATTTTCCAATAAAAATACTTTGGGTTATTCCTTATTAAATTATCAGGAATATATAGAAGAGTGTACTTTTATATGTACCGTTAGAATGATGCAAAGTTAGAATGATGCAAACTATGTCAGCTGGTAATAAATTTGTCGGCCCAATTGTTTTTGTTTTCTTCCTATTGTGTGATTTATATCCCTTCAAGCAGCAACTTTTATTCTTTGCCATATAATAGCAACTTCAAGCATTGAAACAGAATCCGCGCAAGTGTGTTTGTAGTTTTTGCACTGTTTTTTTTTTTTGTGTGGATATAATGTCTTTTCTTTGAGCGAGTAGTAAAATTTTTGCCGAATCATTATTTAGAACCCTGCTTTTACTTTTCCGATTCTATTTATAAGACACTTCCAATTTGTTTCACACAAATTAAGAAAACCTCAAAATGAATGAACTCTTCGTTAAAACATGCTCCTCTGGTTCTTAATATAAGACTTATTTAACTAATTTGATTAGATTAAAAAAATTAGGTAAGTTAGTTAATTATAAGAAATATGACATGTTTTTTTTTAAAACACCATAATCATCTTTCTTAATACCTCCTCTCCCTTTTCTACTTGATTATGGTTAAGGAAGTATCTATGGAGGTAATTTAAAAAAAAAAAGATAAATATGAGAAATAGATATTATATTTAGAACTAAAATCAACTCAACAACTAGGTCCTATATTAAGAACTAGAGGAGTAATAATGTTTCAACTTTACCTATATTTAATATATACGCCTTTCAAAAAAAATAACTATCTAAACTATAATAAATAAATGATGAAATAGCACATTCAAGTTAAAAATTTAATAACGTGACTTATAAATAAAACAAAAAAAACTTCTTTTTCTTTTTATAAATAGGGCCAAAAGAGTATTTATTAGAGTCGTAAATGTCAAAGAATATTATTTTTCTTACTGAACTAATTTGTTAGTAAGGATAATATTTGTCCATTCATGTCCACTTCAGGATGAAATCAAGGTCACTCAAGAAGAGACCCGCATGCCATATGTGTCTAACGAACATGAGGATGACGATCTAATGAGGTTATTCCAAGTAATGGAGGAAGGTTCTGTTCATGAAGTTAATAGCGAGGTTACTAAAGCTCTTGTTGACCTGGAGGCCTCGTTGAAAGCGGATCTAAATGATATAGCCACCTCTGAAAAAGATAGACTTTGCCTTGAGAACGCTCTCACTAGCTTGTCCTCTCTTTGTTCCAATGATGATCTTAAAGCTACAATACACTCTTTGCAACAAGAAATCCAAACTATTCTATCTTCCTTTAAGCAAGCCTCTGCTACCATTGACACAGCGACCAAGCTTGAACAAAAAGAGAATGTAATGATTGGACAGCGTTCGCAACGAAAAGAAGCAGCTATGACTCTTTTATCTGAAATTCACAGGACTCAGAATTCTATGGTCGAGGCTCAAACAAGGGAAGTAGAGTTGAAAGAGCAAATCTCTAAGTTGCAGGCTGAATTGTATAGCAAAGAAAAAGAAATCAAAGAGTGCCAGACCAAACTGTTGTCTCTTCAAGAGCAAAAGAAGAAGAGTGTTTCTGACACTGTTGGATTCCTAAAGGAATTAGAAGCAGTAAAGAAAGAGAGGTCTCACATGGTGAAAGACCAGATAAAAGCAAAGCAACAACTGGAGAATGTGAATTGTAAGTGGTCTTCTTGTGTAGACAACTTGAAGAAAACCTCAATGCTGTTGGGATCTCATCTTAAACATAAGCTTTGAGTGACGGAGATTCTCATTTAATTGTTTATTAAAGAAACATGTAAAAATAGTTCTAGACTATAGTTAGAGTTGGGTTGTACGTTATGTATGTATTTTGTGTTTTCTGTATTAATGTTATACCTTTTCAGTTATTCTTATTTTTTGTGTGCATTTTTAAAGAATCTCACTTGAACACAGATTTTTTCCTCTTGAGCTGTTAATTTTAATCTACCTCTCTTGTTTCAGAAGTTACACCCAGCTCCTATAATTTTCAGTTATTCTTATTTTCTCTCTCTGCCGAGGTAGCTTGTACTGGTTCTGCTATCTTCCTGAAAATGTTCTGACTGTCACATCATCTCCAAGGGCAATCCTGTGCTCCATATCTTCCGCTCATGATATATTTGTGCATTCAAGAAGCTACAGTTTGGCAAAACTTCTTTCAAGATCGGCGGCATCATTACCTTCTGTCTCAGACCAGATTTCCTTTATATTCAGAGATCAAGGGAATGTTTAGGAACTGGCTGCTGGCTAGACACATAAGCAATGCCTCATTTGAGCTGAACACAAACAACGATGTTATAAGGTTCTCTCTAGGAAAGACGCCTGATAATAGTGATTTGAACCTTTTTAGTCGCCTTGGGTTAAATCAAAAATAAAACCAAATTATGCAGTAAAGCACAACTCGGGTCATGTCTCTTGAGGAGCCTTTTGTTAATTCCTAAGTTAACTAAGTGATAAAGAATAAAAAGGGGGGTTGAAAAAGGATTTTCAATTAATAAAACTAATTATGAAAATAAGAAATAAATCTAAACTATTTTTTTTTTATATTTTTAATAAAGAAAGAATGAAAAATGCAAGTTTGAATTTTAGAAAATCAGTGATGAGAATGCTTCTTGAAAACAGAATGTAGCTATCCTTGCTTAATAAAAGATATAGGAGTAAAATAATTCACCAAGTTAAGAAAAACAACCCCAAACACGGTTTGAGTCAAGTAAACTCAACACTTAACTACCCTAAACGCTAGATAGTAATCAAGTTATTAAGTTCCTTTTAAAAACCACTTGATGTGCAATTTAAATTGAGTTAATAAAACTTGTTTCCCTATCAAAGAATGCTCACGGAGACACTCAATTGCAATACATCTCAATCATAAAATCTAACAACGCGCCAGATAAGATAATTTTAATGAATGCAAAGGAAATATATATGAATTCAAATCCCAAGTAATACAACTCAAATTAAACTGCAAAAATCCAATTAACAGAAATTATAACGCATAATCTCAATCTCCAAATCAAACGAAATATTCCTAACACAGGAAAAATCTAATGAAGTCCAAGAGAAAATTAATTGGAAAACTAAATACTCCCCTAGTTGAAGCTCTAAACTCAAGCTACTCCTCCATCTTCAAGAAGCACAAGGGAATTAGCCTCTCATAGCTCTAGAAGAATCCACACTATATTTGAAGCAATGAGAATCCATGAAGGCTATGGGAGAGGAATGAATGTGAGGATTGATGGCAAAGAGATAAAAGGAAGCACTGGTATGGCCGAAAAGAAGGAGATGGAAATTGGAGATGAGATCGGCGGTGTGTATGTATGGCGTCTCCACGCGAATTGATGTTGGCGGCCTCGGTCTTGCGTGTGGCTGTGCGAAGGCTATGAGGGTCATGTATTTGGCCGAAGGGAAGATATTGGAATTGAAGGTGGGGACGGGGTATATGCGGAGAAGAGCTAGTGGTCTGAGGCGTTGGCGGCGTGATTGTGTGTATATATCCTCCGTCTTGCAATTGATGGATTTAATATATAACCTAATATCTTTCCAAAATCCATGTCTTCCCTCTCTTCCGTCCCTTTCTTTCCTTTCTTTCCTTTTTTTTTTTTAAATTCTTTTCCTTCTGTTTCAACTTTTCTTCTATGTTTATTTCTTTTTTTGAGACCTGCAAAAGATAAATTGAGATACTATCATAAAGTCCAAAATCAATTATTTAAAAAGAGATAAAATATGATAATATTTTCTTTTAAATTTCTAATTTTGTGCCACCAATATTTAATTCAAAATATCTAAAATCAATGCAAATTATTCCACTTTAATTGATAAATATCCCCAAAAAGACATTAAATAATATATTAAAATAGGGATTTATCAAATAGTAATTCCACAACAGAGGGCAAGAAGAAGAAAAAAACTTAAAAAAAAGTTGAAGGTGCTCAGATTCTATCGTTCGAATGCTAAAATGAAGATGAATTCCTCAAACCCTTACTTGACACTACTGCTGCTTAACATGCCAGAATAAAGTATCCACTTGTTGTTCCATGGGAAATGAATGCTAAAAGATTTTTATTACAAATTGAACATATATTTTATGTGAAAGAAGTATTTATGAAGTTCTTGCTTTTTTAAACTGAGACAGGCATGCTTTGATCATTTAGTTTCTCAATTGCCTTATTGATTAGTTCGATAACAGGGCTTACATTTAGAAACCTGCAGTGTCACTGTTTTTCTAAATTGCCTCTGACAGGCTGGGATTCTGCATTTTTCTTTGCCCCCTCATTTGATTTTTTTTTTTTAATCATTTGGTGTCTTTTTTAAAACTTGAAAATCTGCAGGCCAAGCGAAAGGAAGCTGCGGAAATTTGACTTAACAAAATCCCCAGCAGAAACATATGATCCATAAATTTTGACAGAGGGAAGTTCTTGTATATGAGCCCTCTTTTCCTGATGCGCTCACAACATCGTTTAAGGAGAGATTGGTGTCATTTACCCATCTACTACTCCAGTCCTAAATATAAGACCCCTTTTGTAGTGTAAATTATACTACAAAAGGGGTCTTATATTTAGGACTGGAGGAGTAAATTAATATTCATCAGGATTATTCATTACACTTAATTTATTAAGTGCTCATCATATTTTAGGACTGGTGGTTTGATATGATAGATGGCAGTATGAAATAGTAGAGAGTTAAATCTTATTCTTACACTGAAAGATATTCTCTTTTATCAGTGTCTGATACTATTGTAGTACTCCTCCGGTCCTAATTATAAGACCCAATTGACTTATTTGAGGAGATTAAGGAAGTAAGTTAAGTTGGTTATTTATAATAAATAAGTGTTGTTATTCCTAAAATATCTTTGCTAATTAAGTATATTGGCTAAAACTATCATTATTAGAAGGATTATCTTGGAAAAAAATGCATAAATATAAGAGAGAAAATGAATTGGGTCTTATAATTAGGACCAAATAAAAAGTCAAATTGGGTCTTATAATAAGGACCGGAGGAGTATTATTTTTCCTTTCTTCTTTTGAAAAAATTGTCAATAACATTAATTCCCAGGCCTTGGAGAAATATAGATATGATCAGTCCCTTAAGCATACAAGCCAGTTCATTGAGAAGTTGGAGAAGGAGCTGGAAGAGTACCATCAGCACCTTGAACGATTTAGAAAAGGGAGAGAGAGCACCGGAAGAATAAAGATGCTATGCGTGAGTATCATATTACCTGATTGACAACTTGTATAAATCATGCTTGTTTTGATAGCCAAGAAAAACTCTTAATGTATGGTCCCCCCCCCCCCCCGGTTTCTGATTTTCTGAAAGTTTCAGTCAAGATAATTTGTATTATATGATCAATCTGATGTCCTCAATCTGTTAAAAAACCTTCTAACAGTTTTTCTTATTATTTTACTTTTGTAGTGTCAATCTGTTGAAAAACCATATTATTGAAAACTGTAGTTCTATCTCTGGGAATCGAGGCAGGGTCGCTCTGTTTTTCCTGACCTAAAGGTCTCATATAAGAGCAATGGACAAAATGACATTGCCCGGCATTTTCATTTTTTGACGTGATTCTTGGCCAGTAGTGTAATTTAACATTAGGTCGCCATTTTTGGTGATATATCAGGCTGTACAAATCTTTGACATAATAATGCTTAATGATGCCAGGGGAGCAAAAAAGAAAGTTGTTCTATAGGAGCCAGTTGCAAGGTATGGGGCTTCAATCTTTTATTTTAGCTTTTCCCCCCTATTCATACCAAACAGACCAGATCATTAAATAGAACCATTTTGAGAATAGAATTTAGCAATTATAGCATGCAGAATAAAATCAACCACGTTATTGCTTTTTATATGGCCCAATTAAAGAACCCGAATATCCATTTTTGCAATTTGTACACCACAAGTTAACAAATTATTCTGTACTAGAAATGGTTTCTTGAAAGATAATGTACACCTTTAATCTATCAAAGGCTAAGCATCCATTAAACCATGAATGAAGCAATACTAAACTGTGTCCTAAAACTATGCATAATACCTAACTTCAATGTTTTAAAAGTGAACCTTCCGTTGAAGTTAAAATCATATGCTCCCTCAAGTCCTTATCATAACTCGCATCTAACTGCTTTTTCAGGACTAAGAAAGATTCTTTTCAACTTTACCTTTATTTAAAAGCATAAGAAATCACTATATTAGACTTCAAGTCTCCTTTCCTAATAAATTAGTCACAGCAATATTCACAAAATTATGAACAGTGCATTCATCTTCTGAATTTTATGCAGACATATGATGTCCGATTTATTGAATTAAAAAAGGGTGTAATTATGGAAAAGCAGAGTTAAATGCATCAAGTAACATATGAAGTACTCCTCCGGTCCTTATTATAAGACCCAATTTGACTTTTTATTTGGTCCTAATTATAAGACCTAATCCATTTTGTCTCTTATATTTATGCATTTTTTCCAATATAATCCTTCTAATAATGATAGTTTTAGCCAATATACTTAATTAGCAAAGATATTTTAGGAATGACAACGCTTATTTATTATAAATAACCAACTTAACTTACTTTCTTAATTTCCTCAAATAAGTCAATTGGGTCTTATAATTAGGATCGGAGGAGTAATATGTTAAAGAATAATACCTTACTTCAATGTTTCAAAAGTAAAGACTCTAAACCACACATCAGGTTATCAGATTCCATTATACATATAAATATATGCATTCTAAAGTTGAAGAGTTCTTCTGCGTTGTCACAATTGGAAAGTCAGAGTTTGCCACTTCTCACATTCAATCATTACAATTTC